GCACTCTGGCTGCATCTTCTACAAGACATACTTGTTTGTTCTCTTGGCTGTCCATGGGATATTTCGTTCTCCTCCAACACCACAGCTCAAAGGCATCAGTTCTTCTTCTGTCATCCTTATTCACTGTCCAGCTCTCGGGAGCATAGCAATTAGGGCCAGATATTGTTGGGCAAAACTCACAGGGACAATTATAGCTGAAGTTTATAAAGCACCATTGTTAAAGAAATTGGGTGCGTGCGTGAAGATTCCGAGGGATGGGAGGCAATTCTCCCTCAGATAAACCCAGACAAAGACCTCCCACCTGAAGAGGGATTCCGTCCCAGGACCGTGTGGTAGTGGACAGCCCAGGCAGAGAACTGACCAGTCTGGCTTCATCCATGGTGGCTCGTCCATCAGAACAACCAGGGTTATTTAAGCAATAAATAAGTGGATTCCAGCCTCTAGAACCGCCTTTCCACCAAAATCTCCAAGGGTGGAACAAGAGAGTCTCCTTTTTTTTTTTTTTTTAAGTTTATCAGGTTGACCGTTCTAGAAGAGACGGGACCAAAGGCCAGAAAATGCAACAGATGCAATTGATGAGCCGTCACAAAAATGGAGATTCTAAGAAGGCAGATGAAACCCTTCTACAGAGACTAAACCTCAGCACATCTCCCCATGAATTATTTATGGTCCTGACTTCTTGACAAGCTTCTTAGACATGACACTAGATCCTGAGTCCCTAATGACATACCCTGTGTCCTCAGGTGAGGCAAACTGAAGTATTGAAAGCAGTGTCATGTCTACATTTTCTTTTCAAAACACAATACCTTAGGGAGCTCTGGTGGCCTAGTGGCAAAAAGCTACACTGCAATCCCAGAGGTGTGTGGTTTGAATCCACCTGAAGCTCTGCTGGAGAAGGAGGGACAATCTCCTCCTATACCAGTCAGATCTGATTTGATGGTACACACCCACACACACATAAAATGTTTTTTAAATTTTTTTTTAAAAAATCCACACAGTGTTTTAGTTTAAATGGTTTCAGGAAAAAAGAGTAAACGAGGCAAAACAGTGGAGGAGGGAACATTCCTTCTATTGGACTCTACTCTTCTGTAGGCTTGAGATTTTTCAAAATTTCAGATTGAGGGAAAACGAAGGGACTTTCTTCTTTTTGCCTGGGCCGGCCTGAGTCCAGTGGACGAGATCATTTGTGCAGTTCTGTCGCCCGAAGTGTGCGTCTGTTTTTTGGGGTTTTACAGAGCTGGATGGGGCGTGTGGGTCTGGGTGGTGTAGGTTATGCCACAGTGCCGCCTAGAGGCGCTCCGTGCACCGCTGGACGCACCAAGCAGCTCCAGGCCATGGTGACAATTCTTGGGAGCCTCTTCAGCCCAGCACTGCGGCTCTAACTACTCAGGGCTCACGACATCACAGGAGATTGTGCCTGATCGCCTCTGATGCTCAGTCCTTGAAGAGGGGGTGCCTCACTGGACGAAAAACAGGTCCCCTCTGAGGCCCAGTGGAGCGAGGGCGCTTGGCTGCAGACTGGTCAGCCACTGAGACCACACAGACATGGTCACCAGCTCCCACAGTCTGCAGCCCAGGAGACTCCAGGGCGTGGGGGGATAGGGGGCAGGTGTCTTGCCACGTGGGCCATTATGAGTGGGAAAGGCTCTCGTGCACACAATGGGAGATGCGAGACCCATGAGCGAAAACTCCCCAGAAAAGCAAGTCAGATCGAGAGGCCAGTTTTGGAAGCAGGAAGTTTCACGGCCGACAGGAGGCCACCCCTGACCAACTCCACCCAGTGAACTGGGGTGAGGAAAACCGGGAAGGTGGGGGGGGCGCCAAGTGCCCAGGAGTGGAGGGAAAGAGGACGTGGGCAGAGGCCAGAAGAGCAATCAGGCTAGAGACGGGCTGGGACGCGTGAGATCCAAGGAGATGCTGTCAGGGACACCCACATCCATGTTGTCACAGGGAGAGGTCAGCCGGGCACAGGCCTGCAGGCTGGGCTTCCTCGAGCCTACCTGCTGCTTTGCTGAAGCCTAAAGGTAGGACAGAGGGTTTGGGTATTTGAAGACCACAGAGTGAAAGGCAGGAATGCTCCCACATCTAGTACGGACAGGGCCAGCCCACCCGCTTGTGTCCTGAGTAATGTCAACAGCCCATCTCTGCTGCATACGACACTAGGGAATCCAACGCAGAGACCAGAGCCTGGAGACACACCAGGAAGACATTAACTAGAGGTGACCATGATGATGATGATGATACAGGAAGTCACCCCTGGAGCAGATGGGCCCCTCCAGTGCAGCCTTCCTCAGAGCAAGGACTTCCTGAGGACAGAGGTCTGGATGCAGACTGAAGATCCAACTGGACCCAGGGAGGGACTGACAAGACGCAGACCTGCTCAGGTTTGGAAAAGGATGGGCTTCTCCATTCAAGAGATAACTCGCGGCCCAGGATCTGGTGCATCTAAGTGAACCAAGAAATCTAAACTCCACCCAGAAAAAAAACAAACCAAAAACCCAAAGAGAATTCCAACTCACTGCCATCTACGAGGAATCACTCCTTCCCGCCATCAGACTTCAGAGGCTGCAAATCGCGAGGACCCCGCCCATTTCTGAAGGCCTCGCCACTGTTATATACGGACATTTTTACAAATAAAAGCACAGACTGGGAGACCATGTGTTTGTATCACAAGCACTTATCTTTATTTCCTACAAGTAGCATTTTTCATATGATATTTTAAAAACATGTAAGAAGACAATTCATTGATCTAAAAGTCAAAGATTCTCCACCACCTCTGAGGAGAGGCAGGGGTGAGAAGAGCAGGAGGCTGAGGTCAAGGCTGTGAAATTCTGGTCAGAACAGACCTGGGGGACGGGCACTGGGGCTGCCACTATATGGGCAGGAAGTCCCCGGCCGGACCACCAGCACCGCCCCTCGGCTCCTGCAGAAGTGCACGGGCCCCACAGTTACCTCTCCACTGAGGACAGAAGAAGAGATTTTTGGTCTCAGTGACATTTTGGCTCTTCATCCTGAAGATTGGCACAGCTAATGGACAACAGAGTGTCAGGACAGCATGGCATTAGTCAGGCTACTGTACGCTGGCCCCCAACTTCTTTCCTTTTTTACCAAAAAAAGGACAAGGTTGATCACTATCATACTATCTTTTATCTTAAAGCCTTGGCATTTCTGCTTCAGACAAACACAAACACACCACAGAACTCGTTCCAGTCTCATCAACTTAGAAAAGAGTCCACTCTGATAATAGCACACTGAGATAAATTCTTATGCCCTAGGGCACTCTGGTAGCCTAGTTGTAAGAACCTGCACTGCCATATTAAAGGCACGCAGTTCAAATCCGCCAGTTAATCTGTGGGGGAAAGGATGGGCAATCTCCTCCACAGATTACTGTTTCTGAAAAGCTGGTGGGGGGGGAGCTATGAGGCAGTTCCACCTTGACACAGCCCGCAAGGAGCAACGTCTCTGTGGCAGGCAGGATCCACCAGCCGCTCGGAAGGTGAAAGGTGGGCAATCTCCTCTCGTGCCACGTGGAGCTTTTGAAAACCCACCGGACTGTCTGCCACGCAGTGGTGCTAACTAGACGGCAATGACTTTGAGTATCAGCATGACAGGCCATGAAGGTATTCCGTGCAAGGCCAACCTAGACATTCAATTCTAGAAACAGCCTCTACTTCCCCAAGAGACGACGACCACTGTCTTTGGGTCTGCGATCTTACCCCACCTGCTCCGTGCTGCCCAGGGAGGCAAGTACAAAGACCAGCAGCCCACGAGCTGGCGACGGCGAGCACAGCTCCTTGTTGGGCTCCTTGCTCTCTGGAAAGCAAGGAGAACGTGGCATGAGAACCGCCTGGCCCCGAGGGGAACTGCATCCCCGAGGGAAGTCTCCAAGTAACTCCCACAGTGTTGTCTTCCAGCCGTGAGACACTAACTGTGATTGTTTCTTTTCACGTAACTCAACTCAGTGCCAGTGAGTCAGAACCAGTGTGCAGAGGCTGTAAAGCGCACGGGAGGAGACTGCCCGTCCTTCTCGCTCGGAGCAGCTGGTGAATTCAAACCACATGCCTTTGGGTTGGCAGTGTTGACTCTGTGCCCACTCAGCCACCAGAGTTCCAAAGAGCAAGGCTGTTTCAAGTCAGAGGATATCAGAGTCCTCTTGGCAGATACGAAACCAGATCCTCCTTACAAAGCAGGTCCCTGGGCCACAGACATCCGCAGGCATTTTTCGGTATGATATTTCAAATCACCAGCCTCCATGTCCGGCAGCAGATGTTAATTGATCTCCTGCTTTCTTCTCTTAGCCTGTGTGTCTCATACCTAATGGGTGGCTTCTTTGGAAACATGAACCTCAGACAAGCTACCTCAGCTCTCTGGGCCTCCTTTGCCTCATGGATAAAATGGGGATGAGCGGTGGGGACCCCGGAGGGTCGTTGTGAGCGATTCTATGAAGGCACTATGTAGACAGCACATTAAAGGAAGGGGAAACGCAGCTGTGCAGATTCCACACCGACAGAAGCCCAGGCAGACCCACGAAAGGAGAAACTGAGACAGCGCACAGGCTTGTTTCAGAATTACAGAGATGTCTAAAAGCCATCTGGAAGACTGGTACGTGGCCTGGAAAATGACCATGTACAATAATGGTTCCCAGGGCAGCTGAGGATAAAGACAATGGATAAACTGGCAGTATAAAAAGAAACAGTCCCTTCACATCTGATACAGTTGCAGAGTCATACACACACGTGTTATGTACACAATCTTCCCGTTACACTGGCTCAAGGTCGGCATCTGATCTGCAGATGTAGCACCTTTCTCTAGCTGGCTACCACGCCAAATAAGATACTGCCAAAAAAACCTACAGATCTTTCCTCATTTGATGGGAAATTCACACTTACATTTGGGATTCTATCCTTTATTTAAAGCAAGTCACTAAACTCTGTTAACCTGGAAAGGGTACACTGTCTATACGTGGAGAGAGATGCTGTCGCTGTCTCCTGAGACAGAAATCACGCGGGGTTTCCTTCCTGGGTTCCAGACTGCTCCTTCGCTTTGAGTTCTTCTCGCTTCTTCCCATAGAGGACGAGAAAGTGCTCATCTGGCTCGATTCCTGCCGACTTCAAATTCTCCAGGATCTTCTCCAGCCTGGGCAAGGACGAGGCTCCCTTCACCTTTCTTGTGCTCAAATACAACGTGAACTCTTGGTAGGTCAGGAGCTTGCAGGTGTCCACGGAGCAGATATTCCGGATGTCACTGGTTCTATCCAGACGAGGGAAGAACACCAGGCCCGACAGCTTCTCGAGGTCCTGGAGGCTCACCTGGAACTCGGTCAGTGGGGGCTGGAAGCCGATGGCTTTGTTGGGCACCACGAAGGCCCCCAGCGCCAGCGGCTCCGTGGATCCTGGACTTCTGCGCGCCAAGATCACTTTGTAAAGGTGTGAGGGGACCGCCACATTGTCCTGACCAATGACCTGAAAACAAAGCAACTGTATCAGTGAAGCAAATCTGCGCTGGTGGTTTCTGGGAAAAAATATGCTTACAAGCGGCCCCAATCAATCCCAATGGATTTAAGGTCAAGTGCCAAAGGCCATTTAGAGATCAAGATATTCTGACAGAAGACAGCCTGAAATCGTAGCCTCTGAGCTGAGTCTTTACAGTCAGATCACAGCAGAGGGGTCACATTTGCTGCTGCATTTGTATGACTGAGTTCCAGGCTTTTCCATGGACAAGGAAACCTGTTACCTCCCCCCTTCATCTCATAATCAGAACGTCTGGTGCTCTGAACATGCAAAGGTCAAAACTGCCGACTTGGGACACTCCCAGCTCTAGAAATGAAAACAAGGCCTTACCAAGGGCTAAACAAACAGCCTCAAGAGAAGCAGCTGGACACATCACATCAACGCTACCATCTCTCGTACCACCTAAAGCGTGGCTTGTTTTCTAAATTCAATTAAGGCCCCGTAAATGTTGTTTGCTTTAGTTTCGCACACTCTGAGGCCTGCTATCAAATACGGAATTTCTGTGTGCCATCAAATACCCACCACACAACGACGGAGCCGGACCCAGCGTTAGCTCAGGAAGCACAGCTGAGCTGTCTGTGAAGGTTCGCCTGCACTAATGAAATAACAGTATCATGAAACCTTTTCAGATTTCCTTCCAATTGGCTTAAAAGCCCTATCTGTTTTCTGAAAAAAAAAAAAAAGAAAAAAAACTGCACATCCATTTCCTTAATGGGGCCCATGAAATGACATAATCCAACTAGAATGTGCTCGTGGTACCACAGCCCCCGCCGCTCCCCTCCTTGAGGGCAGAGGGCATTCCTTCCGGAGCAGACAGCCCTGCAGCCGCTGGGACCCTGGTGGAAGCCCAGTTAAGGCAGATGGACTCACAAAGGAGAATTCTTTCCTGCTCTTCCCAGGGGCCCACCGGTACAGCACACACAGCAAGACCTCAGGAGGAGTCCAGGGCCACCTGCTGTCTGTCCTGCAAGGAGGTCCTGCTGTCCAGGATCCACTGCAGGGCACAGAAAAGAAAGACCCACTCCCAGAAAGGATGCGATTCTTTATAACTATCTTCAGAGTTACTGGGAATGGTTGGCCACTCAGCCAAGGTATGGCTGAATGATTAGAACTATGCCCTAGAGACACAGCTGGGGAAAAGAAACATACTCTTTAAAGAAAGAAATTAAAAAAAAAATACGGTTAAGCCTAGGAAGATCACAATTAGACATGGAATCACCAATAAATATGAACAATGCAACTGAGAGCCTGGTTCTGAACTGCTCAAAGTACAGGCAGGCATGAGCTTTAAAGCAGATGAAGCCGGGGCCTGCTCTCAAGAGCCTGACCACTGAGCTGGGCAGCTAACGGCCACAGCCTCCATCGCTGGCGGAATCCGGCTGGACGTCGGTGAAGAGTACAAACAGCAGTGCCATGTGGTGTGAGGCAAGCGGAGGGCCTGAACCCAGGGCACAGAGGCAGCTGAGCCCCGGCTCTGGGGACAGGGCCGTTTAACCGAGTGCTCCAAGGGCCAGCGGGCCATCCAGCGGGGTCAGCAGGGGCCTGGTGCCACCTGGTGACCAGCCAGCGCCACTGCAGCCCGGCTCCAAGACTGCAGAGAACCTTCCAGACCATTTCTGGGATGATTTTCTCTCCTCAACTCCTCGTCGACAAACGGTAATCTTCAAAATTAAAACATAACTGGCCATGCCCAGATGCTACCAACTAGAGCTTCTAATCAGGTTGGCCAGACTCCAGACAAAAGCAGAGAGGCTTGACGTTCCAAGCACCACGGCTCTGCCCTCTGGAAAGGCCCACTGGGCTTTCAGAAAGCGACCACAGCTAGCAGCCCCCATTAACACTTCTGAGCGGCCTCCTGGCTTCGGAAACCCCCACGAGGACAAGGGGTGTGACTGTCCTGTCCCTGACCTTCTGACAGAATCTCTGCCAACGGAGGGAGAGCACTACTCCTAGAAATGAAGAGAAAAACGAAAACTCGGGCACTCATTCTCTCTTCTGCTCTGATTTCGGGAAGGAAGCATCTTAAAGCTTCAACAGGAGCCAATGCTGTTTAGAAATTCCAAAAAAACCTCTTGCTGCTTCTTTGAGTTTAAAACTTCATTTGAAAATAAATTTTAAAATATTTTGAGGCTTATTACCCTCTTTGTAACCAACAGTTCAAACAGCCTAGATCCCCCCTCCGCCCCCCACTTTTAGGAAAACTAAGATGTTCTGAAAAATGTTTCTGGCAACTACGAAGGTACCGGAGTGAAAGGATTCAGGGGCCAGGTAGGGGCCGGGTCGCCCAGAGACCAGTGGGCCCTGGCGCTGCCACTTGGCTGCATATCTACCTGTGTCTTATTTCCTCACTCAGGACACAGGAACCCACAATAACCATACCACCCCACAGACTATTACAGAGGTATGACGACGTAATAATTTAAAAAAAAATGTTTAAAGATCCCAACACCTATTTAAGCAACTCTTTTGCTGGCGAAGTCATTCTTCAGAAACAGAGATAACTGATGGTTGCACAAAATATCGTTTTTGCAAGAGAGGGTGAGGAAACACTGGGTTGAGAGAGACCAGATCAGTTAAATGAAGGTAGAAGAAGACGACAGGAGATTGCGGAGGCAGGAAGAGAAGATGGGAGGCGATGGGAGACGATGGGAGAAAGCAAGAGGAGAAGGTGGGAGAAGACAGAAGGAAAAGGCGGGAGAAGGATGTCCCTGGAAGAAGACGGGAGGAGAACGGAGGAAACGGAGTACCCAAGAGGCTCCAAACAATGGATGCGAGAGCTCCCCAGGAATCAAGCCCTTGGTATCAGCAATAATCCTTATCATCTAAGATTTCATTATAAAAACACAAAGGAAGCCCTCACTGCCGCTAAAGTACCAAAAAGCACTTCACTCTCTTGTCAAGATTATAACAAAGACGGGAAATCAGCTGAGCGTGGCTAGGTGATACCACGCACAGCCCAAGCTCCCCATGACCGGAAGTCGAGTTTCTCAGGTGCCAGTTGAACTTACTTCACTCCATCCAAGGGACCCTTTCCCCTCTGCAAAGAGGCCAGCACAGACAACAACCCAGCAAACCCTGTCCACTTGTAGCATCATATACACCACAAGTGTGCCTTAATTAAAAAATTAAGATTATAGGACTTGTGTGGAATATGGACCTGCTAGAATCAGACAGAACAAGGCATTGGGTTATATTCCCTTGGTGAGACACACACACACACACACACACTCTCTCTCTCTCTCTCTCTCTCTCTCCAAAAACAAAGCTGCTGGAACATACCAAGAAAGCAGGACCTTAAAAAGTCACATCAATCTCTTGAAAGAAATTTATGGGCAGAAGGAGCAGGGACAGTGAGGGAGTCATAGAATACGGAAATTCACCAGGACCGTGGTCTGCACACCAGGAATGAACAGTCATGCAGATGCTCAGGGAACACCTCAAACGTGGGGGCGGGGATGGGAGCTCTGGTGGCCTAGTGGCAAGAAGCTGCACTGCAAGCCCAGAGATAGGAGGTTCAAATCCACCAGATGCTCTGCTGGAGAAGGAGGGACAATCTCCTCCTGTACCTGTCAGATCCGATTTGAGGGTACACACACACACACACATAATAATAAAAAAAAAAACCTTGGGGGGTCAGACTTCTCACCCTTGGGGCGTCTGCCTGGAGCCGGGGGTGGGGGTGGCAGGGTGACAAGTCACAGAGGAATAAGCACCATCCTCCCACAGTATTCTCTTGGAAGAATTCTAGTGGGCACAAGGATATACTTAACAAGTGAAAGAATTTAAGACACTATTCCTCAATTAAAACAAATAGATGGGAAAGTGAAAGGTTTCCCTAAAGATAAAACAGAGTGTAATTTAAAAAAAAAACAAAAAAATTTTACTCCCTCTACTCTTCAGGTAAAGCCTCCGAGATCCCTGGGGACAGGTTTTGAATATCCTTCCCTTCTAGGAATTAGAGGAACTTTGTAAGGTGCTGCCACAGACAGAAACCAGACTGTGGGGTTCCACTTCACCCCTAACAGCCAGCTGCAAAAATCGGAAGCTCACTTTCTTGTCAGGTCAATTAGGAAAGCCTGGGCCAAAATGTCCAGGTATGTTTCATTTATCCGGAACCAATTTCGTCTTGCATCTGGCACATCAGATACGGCACATGGACGGCCTAGGCTGTACGAGAGGGGTGATGGTGATTAGAGCTGTCAGATGACTCACTTCCGATAAAATCACTGCTGCTAATCCTCCCCTGGGCTCACATTCACCCGCGTCTTCAGATTCTGCGATTCTTGCCTGCATACTCCAGCAGACATTTCTGTCTGGCTGTAAGGAACCCTCTGCTTGCTCCAATTTCTGCTCTTATTTCTGCATGCTAGCAAATATCACTTTTAACTGATAGCTACTTACACCATCTTTTTCTTTCCAGCGGGCCCCAAGTTTTGGGTATATTTCGGCATATAAAGGAAGTAGCAATCCCCTATACTGCAATCTGAGGGTTTCAAAGAGCAAGTTACCAATGACTGGGAATTCTCAGACACGTGTGTGTTTGGCTCACCCGTTGACAATGCCTGGCTGTGTGACTTGGCTTAACCCTCAAAGCCTCAATTTCCTTGTCTTACTTAAGAGGATAACTACAGCCTTTTCGGAAGGCTGTTGTGAGGCCCAGATGAGACATCACATATAAAGCTACTTACACATTGTCTGGTACATAGGACCCTGAATAAATGCTGTTTTCTTTCTTTACTACCTACTAAGTATAAACACATGTGCTTTATTCCCTAATTAAAAAAAAAAAGAAATGAAACCAATAAATGCCTGTTTTCATTGGGTCCATTCGCCTAAGAGATTCAAAGCAGAACTGTAAACAAACAGGGAACATGAAAAAAACACAATACTTCTCGAGCACTCCGAACTGCCCTACATAATTAGGAGACACTCCCTTGGAAACAGGAACTCATCATCTCAATCACCTGTTCCTTAAAAGGAACTAGTCTCCAGGGTTGGTCAGGGCTGCGTCCCCTTTCTCCATCGTTACAAGACATATTAGCCACATTTGTTTTCCTATGAATCAGCTGCTTTTAAACGGCACTGCCTGTTACAGGAAACCTGAACTGTCGGCCAGGCACTCAAGGTTTCTGCCACCTGGCCTGAGCCCGTCTCACCCTGTTTTCATCTCATCCCTTGTGTATGCGCAAACTCAACTTTGTATTTCTCAGGACGTATCTTTTTTGCTGTCTCTTCTTCTTGCCTAGCTTTGGCTCCTTGGTTGGTTTTCTGGAACCAAATCGTCCCAGTTTATGTGTGTCTATGTGTAGCCGAGAGGCAAGAAGCTGCACTGCAATTACAAAGGCACATGGTTCGAGGCTGCTAGCAGCTCTGCACGGGAAGGATGAGTTATCTCCTCCTGTGCAATTAACTGTCTCTGAAAACCTTCTGCAGGGTCAGTTACGGGTGGAGGGTCAGTTACAGGCGGAGGGTCAGCTACGGGCCGGTTCCAACTCTACAGCACACAACAACAATATGTGTGGCAGATGCACCTGCCCAAGCCAGAGGGCTTATTTTCTACTTCATGCAGCGTGTACGTTTGGTTTGTTGGACAGTTTGTCCTCCTGGGTACGGCACCTGTCAGTCAGTTTGCTGTACTGAGGTGACACAAGGCCACTGGTAGTCCAAATCACCAGCAGGGTCACCCGTTGTGAACTAGTACCAACGGACCTTCCAGACTGAGCCAGACTAAGCAGGAGGACTGGCCATCCACTTCTGAAATAACAAGCCTTCAAAAAAGCCAGTGGAATGGCAGGACATTGTCCAAGGATGGGGTCAGGAGACGAACCCTTAGGTTGGAAGACACTCAAAAAATGAGGACAAAAAGCTGCAAACATTCCTCAATAACCAGAACACAGAAGGGTCAAAGAATGAATCTAGGAAAGTTGGAAGGGTCAAGAAGGAGATGGAAAGCATAAAGACTGAGCGTGGCAGAAATCATGAGGATGGCACGGGGTGGGGCAAGGATCAGATCGATCGCACACAGTGAGACAGTGTGGCCGTGCGTGGAAGATGACTTGACAGAACCTCTCAAAACAACGTGTGTGTGCGCTCATGGATAATTTCAGGTCCAACGAAATGACTTAAAAATGGCACACACGTTTGAGATAGTTTTTCCAACCTAATTAAGAGAGAACTAAGTTTTATCTTCATGCTTATAGATATACTAAAGATTTTTAAGTTTAAAATTCTAGCTGGAACAAATTTTGATTTATAAATTAGGTAGGTCAAGCAAAAGTTGTGTTGTTATAGAGAAATTACAAGGGAAAAATGTAAGGAGACATGACTGTGTTATGCTTTTAAGGAGAAAAGCTATCCATCAAATCCACACACACGCATAACATGCAGTTTTTTGTATTTTCAGGAAAAAGTCTAAATCATCTTCTCAAGAAACAGAAGAACACAGAAGGCAAAGAGAAAAGGCGCCCCTGACAGAGAAACACCAAGGGCAACAGAATTTGTACAGGACGCTCCTGGGGCCTCTCACCACCCACCACAAAAGGTGACAGATGAATGTGGTGGACGTGGACGGCAAGCACAATGGTGGACTGTGCCCTCAACAGTGGCCCTGTCAGTCAGGGCTTGGCTTCTAAACACTCCTCTCCATCAGATGGAACCTCCTGAGCGGAAATTGTGGATTCCAAGCTGGGCCAAAGAAAGTCCGGGATGAGTCGGGAATAGTCATTGCCTCATGCTAGAAAGCAGAACATGCTTAAAGGGGAAAAAATGGTGAGGACACGGCAAAAAGACACAGGAGTCAGTTTAAAAGGACTCTCACTGGACAAATCTAGGACAATCTGTGTTTTGATATAAATAATCATAGTAGATCGCTTAAAACTCACTCAATAAATGAAAAATTGAGATCTTTCTACAACGTCAACTAATAACATAGAAGAATAATGGTTAGAAAATCCATTTGGCAATGAGTATAGTCATAACCAATTCAGGCAAGAATCATCAACGGATCAATAAATTAAAACTAGCAGGGGGAAGTTTAAAGAAGCCAATAATACTTTCTGGCAATACATTGTGACTGTCTCTAAATATTTCCCCCAGAGATTAAGGAAGACAGCCGTAAACACGTGAATTATTTATTAATCACTCTGTGATTTTAATCTGCAGCCCTCATTGTTTTTGGCCAAACATTCTTCTAAGTGGTACAGCACTGGTCTGTCCATTTGAACTTGTGGTTGCTGTGATGCCAAACACTGTGACACTCATGTGTCAAATGTGATAACGGTTACCCATGGTGGACAGTGTTTGGTGGAGCTTCCCGATTAAAACAAGCCTGGAAGCAGGAGTGGCATCCACTTCCGAAACAGCTTGCCACCGGAAACCCTATGAACATGGAGAAACGATGAAAGTTATACAAAGTGTTCGGGTCTTTGGTTCCTAGGGTTGCTATGAGTCCTCTTTGACGCAACAACACTTAACAACAAGAACAACAACAACTGATGGATTAATTTCAGACAAAAGGTAGCGTAATGATGCAGGAACCTGGAGACACACAAGTTAACAGGCCGCACTGGGGTCCAGGGCCTCCTCACTGACACTGAGCAGGGCACAGCTTCACTTCTTCGGCGTTCTACCCAACACAGACCCGGAACCTCAACATGAAGACACAGACGAGCCCAAGGTGAAGGACCTACTACAAAAACACCCTCCCCTGTAGTCTCAAAACTGCCCAACGTCATTAACGTCTAAGAGGCTGTAACAGATCCTAGTTCTCCCACGCTGAAACAGACCTGGGACCTCACGATGCCCACAAATAAAAATCCAACTCTTCTCCATGGAACCACAATCACCCTTCTCTGCTTCGCCTGTCACACCTATTACTGAACAATCCTCATCCCCCTTGAGCACCCCACCCCACATCATTCAGGTCACTATAAGCACCAGTCTTTCTAGATGACACATAAACCCCAGAACAGTGCTGATTATAAAGGTCCTGGGTCTCATTCCACCTTCTGATATCCTCGCGCCCCTCTCCTGTCTCAACTTATTTACACACCTGTCAAGATCTAGCTCAGAAATCTCTTCTTCCCTTCAACCTCACTGAGCCAAACCAGCAGGTGTTCTGTCTTGTCAGCCACCGCTTCATTCATAAACACATAAACACACACACACACACACACACACACACACACACACGTATGTACTCATCTCTGTTACAATGTATCACGCTCTGCCATCCACTAATATGTCTTGTCATCCATTCCAAAGAGTGAGTTCTCTAATGTCAGCTGTTGTAGTCATCACTGGATTTGTTCTAAGGAGCCTTGATGGCATCGTGGTCAACGAATCTGGCTCCTAACTGAAAGGGTAGCAGTTCAAATCCACTAGCCAGTCTTCAGGAGAAAGGTGGGCAGTCTGCATCCGTAAAGACGGGGGCCTTGGGGACCCCTCGGAGCAGCTCAGCCCTGGCCTATAGGCTCACCAAGAGGTGGGATCAACTCCATGGCAAAGCACTGGGCTTGGTGTTGGTTGACATCCCTTATGCCCTTCACCCCAAGGAGCGTTCCGTAAACACTGTTGAATAATCCTTTCGTGCACACAGCATATGCTTGAGTGTGAAAACATGTCTCTTACCTGGTAAGTGACTGTTTTCTTTCCGTCACTTGCAGTCTGAGGTAAGGTCAGAGGGCCAGATACTATCCACACATCTTCAAACCTTTCTGTCAGTTCCCGACAGTACATTTCTATTCTGAGGAAAAAGGAGTTAGACGTTCACGCAGATATAAATGTAGAAATGTAGCAAACTCTATCAAGTCCCTAAAGAAGACACCAAGATTACTGCTTGTAAAAAGATTAACTTAAATAAGAGAACAAGGTACAAGATGTAAGTTCACGCACAATGATTTTCCAAAATTCTATTGCCCCTACATTTCTGTCAACACAGCAGCGATCTGTAATTTCAGTGCCTCCCCAGGTCACACATTTCAGAAGTGACATTCTGGTTTGTGTTCTCTTTAACTTAAACACCCTTGATTCCCATTTTCAAATACACTTTTCCCCCCCCTTAAATAGTTGTTTTTTTGGTGTGTGTGGGTTTTTTTTCAAATACACTTTTTATAATTATGTCACTCCAACAAGTTGTACTTTTAAAAATGCAGTCATTCTTACTATCAGACAGACAGATGAGTGTATCCGAACACATCTATATAACGCAATTTAATAACTGGAGATCTCCAGAGTTGGCATTATTACATTAATAACTTAATTATTTTAATATAAAATTCACCCATCTAGTACGGTTTATGTAACTTAGTCTATTATGTAAAAGATAAAGAAGTTTCACAACAGCCTTTATAGCACTGGGAATCATCCTTTAAAAAATGGTTTTCTAAAAAAAAATTAAAAAATTGTTTCCTCCAATTTCCCAGAGAGAAATGACAAGTGGGATTTTTTTTGTTTTGTTTTGTTTTTTATTTTGTTATTTTTGTGTGAGTGTACCGTCAAATCAGATCTGACTGGTACAGGAGGAGATTGTCCCTCCTTCCCCAGCAGAACATATGGTGGATTTGAACCGTGTGCCTCTGGGATTGTAGTTGCAGCTCCTTGCCACTAGGCCACCAAAGCTCCCCTGACAAGTGGTTTTTATATGCACTTTCTATTACTACAGTAGGAAAGGAATTAAAAATGAGATGGACATCATCATTCCTCCATCTCCTTGGGTGAAAATCAGAATCAAGAACACTATTATGGACTGTATGTCCAATTGTAAGATACAGGCCTCTCCCCCCCCCCCCCCGCAGATGTCTCCCTTAGGACACCCCACTCCCGCTGAGTCAACTCTAACTCACAGCCAGCTACTGACAGAGTGTTTGTGGAGGCAGGCAGCCCCACCTTTCCACCAGGGAAGAGATGGTAGATTCGAACCCATAACGTTTCGGTCAGCCGTCTAATACTTAACTGATTGTGCCACCAGGGTTCCTTCAACTTATATTATTATTATTATTATTATGTGTACCGTCAAATCAGATCTGACTGGTACTGGAGGAGACTGCCCCTCCTTCTCCAGCAGAGCATCTAGTGGATTTGAACTGAGTGACTCTGAGATTACAGTGCAGCTTCTTGCCACTAGGCCACCAGAGCTCCCTTCAACTTATCTCTTAAGAAAGCAAAATGTCAAATGCTTTCACAGATATGAAATCACAAAATCCAGAATATGGAAAGAAAGTTTAACAGGGAAAAAAATCTTAGCTCATCAAAAGTCAAACATATAATCTGTCAGGAAAAACCCAGGGAGAAAAAGGAGGGAAGCCCACAGATGCACATGCACTTGAGGGGCGGTGGTGGCGCAGTGCACTGCATGCTGTGCTGCTAGCCAAAAGGGCCGGCACCCAGGTGGTTCGAGTCCACCAGCTGCTCTGAAGGAGAAAGGTGGACCGTCTCTCCCACAAAGGCGTACAGCCTTGGGGCCTCGTCTGAGGATCACTGTGAGTCAGCACACACTCCACAGCAAGGCTTTTGGGTTGGGGTTTGGAAGAGACACGTCTCCTGCTGCAAACAGAAAGAGATAAAAACTGGAGTCCACATGTACTTATAACTTGTTAGTCAAATTTGTGTCTTCTAGGTTGCAACACCCCCATGATACATCTTCAAGGATATGAACATGTACAGCCAAGCACAATCAATAAGAGTGCATCTAAATTCCAAACTCAATCTCCATAATAGTCTATGTGTTTCCTACTGCCAAAGGGGCCCTTTAGAGTAGTGAGAGAAGATCTTCACCCTGAAACCCACAGCGTCCCTTTTCAGCAGGAAGTAGCTAAGAGAATACGCCATCCCCTTTTGCTTATGACTCAGGGTGAAGTCTCTCTCAGGGAGGAGTGATAGGGAATGGCAAAGGACACACTGACAAAGAAGACTGATCAGAACTGGCTTTGACAAGCACTATGGCATTTGGACAAGAACAAACTGGGAGGAGGGTGGAGAGAATGGTGCAACAGTGAATGAGTGGAAGCCCAAAATCTCTGTAAATGTTTATGAAAATTAATAAAATATAATTAAAAAAAAAAACAAAACTGGAGTCCACCAGGGAAATACGAACAGTGATTAGAAAAACGATGAGGAACTGTCATGAACTTGAGGCAGGGGACCCTGAAGGCGTGGCCCACGGGGAGCTGTGCCGAGAACCCAGAGCCCAGCTCCGGGGTGGTTCACACTAACCAGCTGCTCAGGGGCGGGGTGCGGGGGTGTAAGATGGACAATTCCTCCTGCGTGGTTACAGGCTCAGAAACCCAATGAGGGGTCAGCTAAGGTGGGTACTGATGCGACCACAGTGAGCTGAGTGGACCAAATTTAGGGACAGCAGCAGTACCATTATGTTTTTGTAAGACTTATCTTTTAAAAACCCACGTTACTGTTGTACCATAGAATCAGAAACGACCCACAGCCACCCTCCAGCAGGTTTTCAGAGGCAGTTAATCACGGGGGGGAGACTGCCCATTCTCCTCCTGCGCTCCTGGTGGCCTCGAACCGAGTGCCTTTGGTATTGCAGTGTAGCTTCTTGCCTCTAGGCCACCAGAGTTCCCTACTGAAGTATTTATGGATGAAATTACTGTATATGTGATCTACTTAAAACCATCAGAGGAGGGGCTGTAGTTGAAATAAAATTTGTGTATAACTGATGAGTCTTTTTCTGACTCTCTTAAATCACCAAGTATCACTTGGGGGAATTCAACAGCTTGAACAACCTCAATCAGTACTAGTTCTCAATCAGTACTAGTTTTGGATGTTTAAAAAAAATCACCTCATAAAAATTAGATGTCAGAAAAAAATGTAGAAACAAAAATTATTTTAGAGTCAATTTCTATCACAAACTATTCTGTGATTATGTTTAATTAGGTCGGTAATTAAAATCAAATCCCTCTGGAGACCCTCAGAAATCTGTTACTGCCTTTGTTATCAACAGAAATCGTATTTTTAGCTGTTTCTTTGAAAATCTGACTTTTGACTAATATCAAACAAAAACTAAGTGACTAGCTATGTTTTAAAGTTTGTACTCCTCGAAGTTCAGCACTCCTTAGAAATAAGGTCCAAAACCCCACCGGCTCAGGGAATGTGCTGCAATCTCAAAGGCATGTGGTTCGAATCCACCAGCTGCTCTGTGGGAGAAGGATGGTCCATCTGCTCCTGTGCGATTAACTGCCTCTGAAAACCCACTGGGGGGGTCAGCTATGGGTTGGTTCCAACTCAACAGCACACAACAACAACAACAACAACAAGAGTTACAATAAGAAGTAGTGGTTCAGTAAGACAGACAGTGACAGGCACGCTGCTACCCTCTCCTGCTGTATCATTCACTCCCCACAGAAGCACATTTTCAAACTCTCCCTCCTTACCTGTTCCAATACCCAGCGTTATTGTCAAAATCCTGAGGCACGATATTAGAAAGGTAAAAAGTTTCTGCCATGGCTTTCTGTGAAAAGAAAAAGAGCAACTTCCACCAAAATGTCTTCACTTTCAAGGAAGACTTTACAAAGCAGATTAGTTTACACCTTTGGGAGAGATGTGACACATAATTCTTGTTCCTTCTCACTCATGTACTAGCTCCAGGCAACTGCAGGGCTTAAGACTCGAAAGTCACAGCTATTTGAGGACATTAAAGCGCTATAATTACTCAAAATAAAGATTATAACAGGGGAGCTCTGGTGGCCTAGTGGCAAGGAGCTGCAACTACAATCCCAGAGGCACACGGTTCGAATCCACCAGATGCTCTGCCGGGAAAAGGAGGGACAATCTCCTCCTATACCAGTCAGATCTGATTTGACGGTACACTCACACACACAAAAAAAAAATACTTTTTAAAAAAAAAAAGATTATAACAAAATAAGCCCTTTGGTGTGCTAGTTCTGTCTGGAATTTATAAAATCCAAACCGACAACATCGACTCGAAAATTGGAAAGTTCTCAAAACAAAGCCAAAGAGTAAAGCCTATTTTAAGATAGAAAGTCTTCATTCTCCTACATTTCAAGCCATCATGCATCCTTCTTCTCAGAGTCCTGGTGGTGCCGTGGGTAAAGCACACAACCACAAGCTGAGCAGTAACTTCACAGGAGAGATGTGGTTCTGCTTCTGTGAAGATTTATAAGCCTGGAAGCTCAGTGGGAACGCTCTGTTCCGTCCCACAGGGCAGCTCTCAGTCAGAACCAACCCGCATTCCCGAGTCTGGGGTTTTTGCCTTTCGGGGAGTTTCCCCCCCAGTTTACATCCATCTGATGCTTCTGTCTGATCTGTAAGCACAAGGCTGCATTTCAGGACGCTGACAGTCACAGATCCACCCTGTCAATGCCACCACACCTCTACGCTTCAAGCAGTGCCTCTGAACTCGGGATGCACATTGCAATAACTGAAGGAACTATAGACACACTAATGGGTGGGCGTCACCACAGTTTCTAATTGTCTTGGGTGGCAGATCTGGAGATCAGGATTTTTTTTCCCCCCAAACTTCCCTAAGTGGTTAAAATGAATAACCGAAGTTGAGACAGTATTTTCATGACAGTAATCACTAACAGTTCACCTAATAAATGACATATATGATTATTTTTCTAATTCACAGCCCAGGAAACAGAATGCCTTAAACCATATGGTTCTACTCCCCCGATCATAGCTAACTGGGCAAAAAGGCAGCCACCATTCCCAAAGGGGCCCATGCAGAGAAGAGAATGAACTACAGGACCAAGACCCAAACCTTATGCTGTCTAAGGAGCCTAGTTGTTGTTGTTGCTATGTGCCGTGACTTGGTCACCTGCAACTCACAATCCTATGTCCAACAGCCCTAAACCCTGCTGTATCCTGTGCCAATCTTACTGTCTCTGATACATCTACCCCCATTACCCCAGTCACTGAATCAATCCATCTCAAGGGTCTTCCTCTCCTGCTCTGTCCCTCCACCCTCCCAAGCATGATGTCCCTCTCCAAGGACTGGTCCCTCCTTGCAACATGTCCAAAGTATGTCAGACAAAGCTTCAGAATCCTTGCCTCCAAGGAGCAGCCTGGCTTCACCCTCTCCAGGACAAACTTATCTGTCCTCCTAGCAGTCCATGGTATATTCAGTACTCTTCTCCAGCACCACAGCTCAAAGGCATCAACTCTCCTTCTATCATCCCTAGTCACTGTCCAGCTCTCTGATGCATAGCAAGTCTGCAGAGACCATGGCCTGTATCAGACACACTCTTTAAGGAGCCTCATAGTGTAGGCTAAATGTTGGTCAGCCATGAGAACCCATCAGCCACTCCACGGGAGAAAGATGGGCAGCTTCCTCTCATTAAGATTTCAGCCTCCCAAGCCCAGTGGAAGGTCAGTGTTGGTCAGGCCCTGCGCCTTGGCAGTGAGGAAGGTCAGTCAGTGTAGGTCAGGCCCTGCTCCTTGGCAGTGAGGAAGGTCACTCAGTGTAGGTCAGGCCCTGCTCCTTGGCAGTGAGGAAGGTCAGTCAGTGTAGGTCAGGCCCTGCTCCTTGGCAGTGAGGAAGGTCACTCAGTGTAGGTCAGACTCTGCTCCTTGGCAATGAACGTGAGTCTGAGTCACTGCGATCTAGTCCATCCTGAATCACAATGATCCCAGGACAGGGCAGAACTGCCTCATGGCATTTCCACGGCTGAGTTATCTCCCAGCAGCAGTCAGTCACATACATCTTCCTCTCATCTCCACCAGACGCTGATACTTCCTACTGTTAACTTTTCAGTTATCAGCTAAGTGCTTCACCACTGCATCACCACAGGTTCTCACTAGAGTCAGGAATCAGAACCACAAGACAAAAACTTATTATCAGGTAACAGAGCCTCAGAGCCTAGCATGGCCTGGGTCATATGAAAGATAGAGAATCAGTCGGCAAAAGGCAAGCAAACAGAAAACAAAGATCTGGCGAAGTAAAGACTGCACTCTGTTATCACCCCGGTGTCAAAACTGTGGTTTCTAAACACCACTCCCGTTAAAGAGGACCAGAATTCCTTAAAGACAAAGCAGATTCCAGGGACAGGAAAAGCACAAGATAAGCCTGAAAATTTTGTTATGCAAAGGAATGCACTGACTGGGTCACAGGAGCCAACTTAAAGGGGTTTGCACCAAAAAAGACCAGGTTACTGTGAAAACACAAAGAAACACTGCCAGCAATAAGGTTATTTAATGGGCAGGGGGAGGGACCCTCTGGGTCCACAGTCACAAAAACATGAGGGTAAGGGATGTTGTTGTTGTTATGTGCCGTGCAAGCAAGACTCTACTGAAGATTATCCAAAAACGATTAGAACAGCACATCAGCAGAGAACTGCTGGAAGTCCAGGAGGGTAAGGGATAGAGAAGGAAATGCGCTTTTTTTTTAACAGAATGCTATCCAAATCCATAAAGAAAGAGGAGAATTGGGAAAATTTGGCAAGCTGTAATTATCAACTTAACAACAGATGCAAGAATTATTTACAGATATGAAAAGCACTGGGTTTTCAGACGATAACATATTTACCTAGGTTTAATTTTCAAACTGTTCTGTCTTAATAAGGATCAGGGGTAGCTTCACATGTGACAGATCTGCTGAGCACCTTAGATGGTCAAACATGACGTTACTCAAGGAACTGTGACAGAGGGGGCTCCTCCTGCTAGGAGGTAGTGAGAAGAGCATAGGCCCTATTTAATGTTCTTACCTGTTATTAATCTGCATTTCACAATAATGAGGAAATTAACAAATCCAGACTGTGTGACAGATTACAAAACAACTGACCTGTGCACTCTGATAACAATGTCATGAAGGACATCCCGTCCCCTTTTTGGCAGGGAATTTATTCTGCGTTAAGAAAAAATGAAAGGGAGCTCTAGTGGCAAGAAGCTGTGCTGCAATCCGAAGGTGTGCAGTTCGAATCCACCAGATGCTCCACTGGAGAAGGAGGGTCAATCTCCTCCTGTGCCAGTCAGATCCGACTGGACGGTGCACAGTAAGAAAAGGCGGGGGGGTGGAGAGAGAGAAAATAAAGAAACATGAAAACTATACTATGTACTTCCTGACTGGATTCTAGATTTAAAAACCACTATAAGGGTCAGGACTGAAACAGAGAAATTTAGACATGAATGACATAGTGAGAAAAGTTGTTAAGTAAAGTTATTATACAAACAAACAAAAAAATGCAATTGGACACATTTATAGGATGTGGTGAAATTAGTCATGGATATAGTTAGAGCATTCTTCATGCTTCAATAACCTACTTAGGAATGAAATTGTTTACAACTTAACCATCAAACAAGGGTTTTTTTAAGTGCACATATATATCAAATGTGGTGGTGGTGGTGTTGCTGAAGACAGCAGAGTCAGAACCGACCCATAACTGACCCTCTGGAGGGTTTTCAGAGGTAGTTAATCGCATGAGAGGAGACTGTCCATCCTTCTCCCAAGGAGCAGCTGGTAGATTCGAACCACATGCCTTTGGGATTGCAGCACAGCTTCTTACCACTACGCTAAGAAATTATTAAAAATGATTCCAAAATTATTCAAAATAAAAATTAAGCAAGCAGCTTCAACTTCCTGTAGCTTCCTAGCTCCCTTTTACATAGCATTTATTTTCCGTTGTTTAAATCTATTTAAGATGTTTAAGAATGTGATTAAAAAAAAAAACAAAAGTCTGAAAAGAGAACAAGAAACCAGTATGGAATTCTCCAGTGTTACAGTTTAGCTCCCAAGTTCATCCCCTAAATTCACAGACCCTACCACCACGCCCGCACCCCAGCCCTTCCCTCAGAAATGCCTACGGTTGAAAATTTGTTATCTCCTGCTGGAGCCATATGTCCTCGCGACCACCCGCTTCCAAGATAGTCCTCATTGAGGGCACTGAAGACTGGAGAGATGCCGGGGTCAGGCTTGAATTTACAGTGTTTTCTGTCTGCGTCGCCTGAAGAAAAACACATGAAACGGGTTAAGTTTCTCAGAGGGCAAATGCCCCAATCCATTTTCTAAGCAAAGCAAGAGAGCTGCTTCTGGCTGGAATCTCTCCCAGCAGCCAGCACTTTGGGACCATGTACGTGTCTCAAGTTCCTGGGATACCTCAGATACTCCGTCTGAATTTAGAAAAGGACTGGCCTGGGAAACCACGCTTTCTGTCCAATGTCGCCAGCTCGCATTATTTGGGACCTGGCCTTTGAAGCTAAAAAGACAATTCTGCTGGGTGATATTTAAGTAAAAACAATGAGCAATGAGATGAGCTGTATAAAAAGCTGGGCTCTGAAACAAACACTTTCTCTTCCAAGGGAGCCCTACGTATTCCATTCCACACAATCATACTCTGGTTAAGTGTATATGTTCCGAAACAATGGATATATATAGACGCCAAACAATCTGTCCTGGGAAGACATAGCCCTGGGGAGTTGAGGAGAAAAATGGCTTTGATAGCTTGACTGTCTCTTAAGCCAATTATGAAACAAACATTTAAGTCAGGACCTCAATACAGAAATTCCTGGAACAGAGTACTACATGGGAGAGAAGGGAAAAAAAAATCTCAACTTTTATATATTTATTACCTAACACTACCTCCAGAATAGTTTGTCACAGAGGACACCCACCAACCAATTCACACTTCCATTGTCATCAGGACGGATGTTGTTATACTACACAAATCAGAAGGGTAAATATAGTACACTCAGACTACTACTCAAGTGTGAATGCAAGACCCATCAAACCAGGGATTGCAAAAATATCTCATTCAGCCAAGAAAAGTTTACAGTCCTCAGACTCCAAAGTTCAGAGTGAAGTATCACATCCTGTCATTAGCTGCTGCCAAGTATTCTAACTCACAGACAGCCCACGTGCGTAGAGCAGAACTATTCAAGGGTGCTTCACAGCTGTGACCCTGAGGAAGCAAATTATGAGGCCCCTCGGGATGGATTAGAACCGTCGGCATTTAGGCTAATAGTCAAATTCTTAACCATCTGGACGACTGAGGAGCTCCTGAGTATTTCAAAGCTAAAACTAAACAGCAGAGTGGAAGAATCATCAAGTCATTACCAATGGGATCACTTCCTTCCGTGCCTGGTGCTCACTGCCCTTGAATGAAACACCGTCAGTGGACATTTCCAAAGGCTTAGGATGAAACCACTTTCCTTGAGAAAATATGTGACTTCTATCCCAGCCTGGAGGCATTTCCAGTGGAGGTCTCAACACCTTCAGGGCAGACTTTTAAAACTGTTCTTTATGCTGCTTTTCTGCTGAGGGTCAAGGCAAAGCCCTCTGTGTGTTTCCTGACCATGGGCTGGCAGTCAACTCTGGCTCAACCTTCAAAAGAGTGCAGTGCCCTGGAGTTTTAGCTGAAGAGAGGGCAGGAAGGTCCCCCATCAGACAGCCTACCATGGGCCAAGCCCAAGATATCTGGAGAAATCACCACTGGTGGACTATATGTCAAATTAAAAGGCACATTATGGTAGTAAAATTTCCAACTACGATAGAAGGTCACAATCTTAACATATATAAAGAGCTCCGACAAATCAATGTTTAAAAAAAAATTTCCAACTGAAAACAGGTAAAGAATAATTTCCAAAACACTAGTCCTCATTGGTAAATAATAAATGCAAACAGAACCAAACATTAAATTGCTAAAGCTCAAAATACCCACTACAGGTCAGAGCGGGTGAGTGGGAAAGACAGTGCTGTGGGAATGGAAACTGGAATAAACTTTCTAGAAACCACTTAGCCATCTGAGTTACAGGAAGCACACGGGAACAGGTTTATGCCTACCTGTGCAGCCTCACCTGGCATCGTGCGCTCCCTCGCTCACCAAGCTCCAGCCACGCTGGCCTTCTCTTAGTTCCCTAAAGAAATAACTCCTCTGCACACTGTGGCCTACAAAATTTAGAGCAAGGGCATGTGTTAATACTCGCAACCCTTTCCACATCACATGTAGAAAATGACTAGGTGTATGGCTCCCTGGGCAGGTGGACCCCACTTTTTTCTTGGGCCCTTTCTCTTCGGCTCTTCACCACGTCCCACTGGAGCCTTGGTTCCTCTGCCTCACAAACTACTATCTACCTTCCAGGCTACTTTCTCAGCAAAGCCGCACGGTCAAGCTCTCCTGGTAAAATCTCTCTTCACACTGCTTATTTCACTGGACTTGTTCTCACTTCTGGTCTCCTCTCCCTCACGCTAACCTGTTCTTTTATTCTTTTTTTTTTTCTTTCCCAAATGAGTTGGTTTAATTCCAGGTGGTACAGAATTCTGGGCATAATGAAGAATGAAGATTCTGACAGGATTCTGGATTCCATTTACTTTGACTGCACAGACAGCTAAGATCGGAATGGCTGAATGAGAAGTGGAGATGGACCACCATACGGTTTCTTCTTCACTGTTTCACAAAGTTTCCTCTTAAATGTACAACAGGCTCCAAGAGAACACTTCATTTTAACTACAGGTGGTAAAAGATGTTACCGCAGAGAATCCAGATGTTTTAAAAAAGAACAGAAGTAAGGTTCATCATTGCCTCCGTCTTATTTTTTGCCAGATTTCTTAATTCCACCCGTGGCCAGGGGACCTTTGCCCGCGGCCTTCGCTTTTAGTTCCTCGAGTTTCTTCTGTTCTTCTTGTTTCTGCTTGAAAGCCTCCTCTTCCTCATCCATCTCCTTGGTCTGCTTCTTGGGCTGTTTCAGGGGCTTCTTCTTACCACCTTCGCGGCCAGACATGGCGCCGGCCGCCCCTTCCCCAGACCTCGATAACCTGTTCTAATTACACATTCACGGTTCTCTGGCAGGTGAACCCCTGCAGCAGCGTGTGCCCCGGGAACAGGATAGATCTTTTCCACTGCTGCTGCTGAATGCAATCAATTCAGAGGCAGCGACTCCACGTGGCAGCGCCGACCTGCCCTGATGGGTCTCCCGGGCTGTGTGTAATCTCTACTCCAGGTCCTTCTCCTGAGAAATTGGGGGGTGGGCGCACAGCATCAAACGCATTGCTAGAAGCTGAGCACTTAACCGTTTCACCCCCAGGGTTCCTTTCATCTACTCAGAACCGACCCACAGCTGACCTTCCAGAAGGTTCTCAGAGGCAGTAAATCACAGGGAGATTACCCATCCTTATCCCTAGGAGCTGCTGGGAGATTTGAACCGCGTGCCTTTGGGACTGCAGCACAGCTTCTTACCACTAGGTCACCACCTACTCTAGTCCCTGATGTTATCCTCAGCGCTTAAGCATAAGGCCGGTCACAGAATTCCCTGCGGCAGCCGAGTCAATTCCAAGTCCGGGAGACCCTCCGTGACAGAGCAGAACTGCCTCGCAGGGCTTCGACGGCTATAATCTCTGTCAGGGATCTGACGGCCACATCATTAACCCACACAGCTGCTGGGGTGAAGTGCAAACCAATGACCTTTCAGTTAGGAGTCAAGAGCTTTAACACGGTGCCACCAGGTCTCCTTGTATCTAATGAAGGGGAAGTCTCCCCAGTCAGGACTGTAGCCCACATGGAATGTAACTTCCTGAGAACGAGGGAGCTTTCTGTCTCATCTTTCATCCGGCTTGTGGTGTCCCGACCTGGACCACTGGCTGCCCAAAGCAGCAGACTTTATTTATACTCACCAAAAGGCAGCCGTCTGTGTTCATATTCCCCATAACAAATATTGGACTCACCGATCTCCAAAGCCAGTGGCCTGAGACCTTGCCTGCTGACGACATGCAGTCACTAGCCTGCCCGTATGTCTCTCTTGACACCTAACGCGCAAGCCCAGGACTTGCCACTCTTTACAAGCACAGAAGCCACTTCCTTGAAAGAAGTCTTTCTCTCGCTTTCAACTTCATTGAGAAACGAACTTCTCGACTTCTAGAAAATTTAACCTTAGACAAGACAAAGTGGTATTCACTGAGACAGTATCTGGCACCTCTTCACTGGCATGCCAAGCTGTGAATCCTCTCAGCCTGAACCTCTCAGTACAGTTGCGGTGAATGAGCTGTGTGGAGATCTGGAGACATATTACACTAGCAAAGTCTGTAATCAGGGACCTCTCCAAATTACTAAGGGGTAATGATATCAGTTTGAACTTGATTGAGGCCATGGCCTTTTTGGTCACTTGCTATGCATATGAGAGCTGGACAATGATTAAGGAAGACAGCAGAAGAAGTGACGTCTTTGAGCTGTGGTGCTGGAGAAAAGTGCTGAAGAACCCATGGACAGCCAAAAGACAAACAGATACAGGAGGAAAAAGTTTCATCTCACATACTTTAGACATGTTGCTAAGAGAAGTTATTCCTTGGAGAGGGACATCATGCTTGGAAAGGCGGAGGGATGGCAAAAGCGATAAAAGACACTCAACTGGGTGAGTTGACATGGTGACTGTAGCAATGCTTAAATGTGTCGGAGCTGATGAGGATGGCAGGGGATAGGACAGTGTTCAGATTGGTTGCTCACAAGGTCCCTATGAGCTGGACTTGACTCTATGACACCTAACAACACAACAGCCACCTAGGAAGAATCCAGGGCTCCCTGGCTACCAGTCAGGGTCCATCTACCCAGTGAGGCATAGAAATATCATTTTCTCCACGTACTGTGATATGGAAAAGGCTGAGAATATTATCAACCATCTCCCTTGCTCTACATTTTGGAAACATCTTTGGTCAGTGCCCTTACATCGACATTTTTTATTTCCAACCACCTACCCGTTATCTTGCTTTTGGATATATGTTCAAGAACCCATCGAGGCACTCGCTTTGCTTGATCGTAAGACAAGGCATGGTTAGTGTAACACTTAGTCTCTGTGCCAGTTAGAGGGAATCCAAACTGTTCCAAGAGAGCCTTTTCTGCAGATTCTAAAAATGAGGAGAAAAAGTAGCATTAGTAACTTAGCAGGGATTAAAATTCTAAGAAGCACAGAAGGATAAGATTTACAAATGACTACTTAAAAAACTTAATTAACCAGGAGTATCAGTTTTGCAATTATTGACAAAGCACAGAAAACGGTAACTAAGAATCCATTTGACCTGCAATCAGCGGTGTAGTTATACCAGATTTCCTGGCACAACCTGGTGAGCACATCCAGGTCAGCATCTATTCGTTTGTTGAAATATTGTCAAGAAATCTGGAGGACAACTACTTGGCCAACTGACTGCAAGAGATCCGTATTTATTCTCATTCCAAACAAAGGTAACCCAATAGAGTGTGGAAATTATACAACAATATCACTAATATCACACACAAGCAAAATCCTGCTGAGATAATTCCAAAACTACTGGAATAGTACAACGACAGAGAACTACCAGAAATACAAGCTGGATTTAAAAGAAGTCCGGGCACCAGGATCTTGGCCAAAAGCAAAGAGTACCAGAGGAATGTTTGTCTGTGCTTCAGTGACTATGCAAAGGCATTTGACTGTGTGGATGACAACAAATTGTGGCTGACCTTAAGAATGGAAATCCCAGAACATTTGATTGTGTTCATGTAAAACTCAGCCCAGGGGCAGTCCTCAGAACAGAGCAAGGAAACATTACTTGGTTCAAAATCAAGAAAACAAAGTTTATCAGGGATATATCCTCTCTCCATATTTTTTCAGTCTATATGTGACACCTGAATTTCAGAACCATCTCAGGAACAGATTTGAGGCTTTGAACACTAATGAACGAAGGCCAGATGAGTTGTGGGAGGATATCA